AGTACAAAAAATTCGGGCATATGAGTGTCTGGTTGCAGTACACAAAATTTCCGGGTGATGTAATGTGATTTTTTTTTTGAAAGTGTTTGAACTTAGAAACCATAGTGGGAGTGATTATTGTGGTGGCTGAAGCTGAAATTGAAATTTTGACCTATTTTATTATGAAAATTTGAAAATTTTTGGGTACATTTTTTTTGACTTTGTTTAGGGTGAGGACATAATGTGCGAAATTTTTTGACTGGTATTACTAGTTATAATGTTTGGGCCTGTCCAATGGTAAAATTTTCCCGTGAGCTTTTTTCACTTAATAGGCAGCCGCAATTTCATTAGTAAAAATTTGAGTAATTTGGCCTAAAGTTTTGATCGTTGTCGTTGGCCAATAAAAAAGATTGAAGGGATTAATTAGTGGTTGGTTAGTTGTTAATCGAGTTGCAATTTGTTTATATAAATAGGTAAAAGTTTCGATCAATTAGTTAGTTTGCTCAAAAATTTTCAATTGATTATTGTCCAATCAATTTTCTTTTCAATTTGTAAGAGTTTGTCGGATAAGATCTTTTTTACATCATTAATAATAGAATAATTAATGATTACATACTTTATAAATAGCAAATTCTACTACCTCAACTCTAACCAAAGGTAAATAGGAGTGGTAACTGTGCTTATATAACTTTTGCTAATTTTCTAGAGATATTATTAGTGATGACAAAGTTAGCACTACCTTAAAGCCATTTAATCAGATGTCTGAATCCTATTCATACTCTGCGGAACAAATAAAAAAATTTAGAAAATTATGGTGGGATCAAGAAAATCTTCATCCGAAGGCAGATTGGGATAATGCAGAGTAAGTGATATATATTTAGCATTTTTCTACTAAAGAAAATCTAATTCGCATTAATTATATTAAGGCTCCTATATATTTTTGTCGAAAACATATTTTTGGAAGAATATGAATATTGTGGAGACATTTTTAATATTCACGGTTTCTGGGAGTAGTTTGATGGTAAGGTTATAGTTATTGAAATTCCATCAGGTCTATATGAAATTTGCATTGAAGCTATTGCTCAAGAATTAATGTATATGTGTAAAGATGTTTATAAAAAAAAATAAAATAAATAAAAATAAAAGAAAAAATTATATTAATATTTTGAATTAAAAGCTAGACTTCTTGGTCATTATAAAGCTAGACTTCTTGGTCATTATTAAAATTTTAATAGTATAAGAACAAAATAATTAACTTTATACACATAAATAAATCATGAATATCGTATTGGTAACTCTGAAAAAGAAGCTAATACATTATTTATTCCAAAGAAGCCTTTAGTAACTCTGCCAAATGGGAGAGAGAAAGATGTATATATTTTTTTATTCTACTAATTCTGAATATTTTAAGTTATAAGTTTCATGATTTGCCTATTTTTAGAATAAACCTTGGCCAAATCTTGTTATTTAAGTCATATATTTTAAAACAGAACAACATGTAATAGATAAGATACAAAACTATTGGGTGTCTTTTTACTGTGTTCACAATACCATCATTGTTAAGATTGACCCAGTTTCTTGAGGTCAAGTTCCATCACATATGAGAGTAAATTATATCCTTAATATGTTCATTATAAATTTATTATTTATATGTTAATCTAAAAGTTTTATTCTTAACAGGTATGGCACTTTTGTGTTTCAGATAATAGGCTGCCAAACAGAACCATTCTAGCCAAAACAATGGTAATATACATGTATAAATTCTTTTTACTATTAATAAATTAAAATATTAATATATATATTAGTTAGAATTTGGCATGCAAGATAAGTTTGGAAACATATTGAATATTTAATAGGGTACTTGTATTATTAATATTCAATTAGACTGCCTATACCATAATTTATGTTTACAAATCCAAATTCCTCGAAATATTCTACCTGACCCTATTGTATTAGATTTATTTTTTGTTCTGTGTATGATCCTCAAAATTGTTTAATATTTTCTGAAAAATAGAATTATATAAATTTAGTTTATATAAAAACAAATAAGGCTCAATAATTTGATGTTTAGTAGCATCAGCAAAAAATATAGGCCGATATATATTGATTAATATCTATGCAGATATATATCGATAATAATCCCCCCTGTTGGGTTATATCGATTGTGATAAAGATCGATATATAGCCGTTATAACAGAAAATCGCTATTAATCGATTATATAAA